CTGGGTATGTGACTCAGTGGCTAAGTGCTCCTGGGTTCAATCCCCAGTACCAAAAAAAAAAAAAAAAAAAAAAAAGAATGTACTATATATCAGGCCCTGTTCTCTCATATCTATTATTTCCTTTACAACCATATGAAACACAAAGGTGAAGTTACTTTCCCTTGTGGTCCCACAGGCTTTTCAAACTCAACCAAGTTAAAAGGTAAATTCATTACTTCTATCCTAAACTTGTTCCTCCTATCTCATAAAATGACCAGGCCACCCAGGAACCTGAACAGCCTTTCCACATGCTTTTTCTCACATGCACTCTGACAGTCTCCCTAACCCCAGTTCCCTGTCCCCAATCCATCTTTCACATGACTAGTAGGGGGAGCTTTTCAAAACACAAAACCCATGGGGCACTCACCTCATTAGTCTGGCATCTTTCATTTTAACATGGCTTACAAGGCCCTGGGAGAGCTGGCCCCTGCCCACTTCACTACTTGCTGTTGGCATTTCTGCCTTAGCAGCAGAGAGCTCCTTTCAGTCTCTAATGCTGTAAGTTCTCCCTCCCCTGGGCCTTCTTCCATGTTGTTCCTGCTTCATGGACACTCCTCTCCCTGTTCCTCGCCTGGTTAGCAGGAACAGGACTGGTTGTTTATTATATCCCAGTGCCAGGCCCAATGCCTCAAAGAAATATTTGGTTGGGCTAGGACTCCTAGAGAGAATATTGGACTGTATAAGGGATTCAGGCTTTGGAGGTAGAGGCCGCAGTTTAAATCCTGATACTGTTGTTTGCTGCGTGTCCTGGGCAAAAATAGCCTGTGTCTGAAGTTCCTCCACCAACTGGGAATGCAATCCCTACCTTCCAGAGCTCATCAAGCTACTGAGTGGGAACATGCACAAAGTTATAGCTACAAAGCACCCAGGACAGGGCCTGGCATAAACCAAGTGCTCAATAAACAAGTTATCTTATTCTTGTACCCGAGACTTGGGTGCCAGCCAGTAGCCAAGGCAGAGGAAGGGCATGGTGAGGAAGATGAGGAAGGCGACAAAGAGCTTCCAGATGGTGGTGCTTCCACGCCAACCAGCCAGGTTCCCACACCAGATGGAGGACAGGACTTGCTGGCAGATGGGGTGTGCTACAAACTAAGCAGAGATGGGGCATGAGGAGGTAGCCACCTGGCAGGGAGAAGGAATGAGCAGGTTGGGTGCATGTCCTTACTTTCTGCCAGTGATCAAACATCCTTCTTTTCTTTCCCTGCTGGCCAGCCCAGAAGAGAGGCAACTCACTTGCCATGAGCCCACGCAGACCCTGCCCTCTCTGGCCCTCAGGAGGCTAACTCTAAGAGTTTCCTAAGTCAGGCAGTGGCAGGTAAAACTGGGAGTACAAGTCCCAGAACTCCCAGGGTTCCCTGCCTTCTAGAGATGTGGGGGTAACAACAGTCTGAACACTCCTGAGAAGGGAAGGAGCAGGGAAAGTGGGCTTGCTGTCCTGCATGGCTGGTCCAAGGGAGCCACTATGGAGGAAGGGTTTTAGTTAAGTTTTTGGTGGGTTAGGATATCTGAGGGTAGATCACATTAAGGGGTAAGAGACTAGAGGCAGCTAGAAAAGGAGCATGTCTTAGATTGGGGGAGGGGTGTTGTCTAATAAGACAGAATAAGAATCACTTGATGTTTAATTCCCGAGACATCCAGTCTAATCTTGTACAGTGAGTACTGAAATCCAACAGAACAAGACTGGGCCCAAGTCACTCAGCAGACTAGAGACAAAGCTAAACCTGAGACCTGCAAGCCTGGGTGTAAAGGTGGATTCTCTAGGGAGAGGTTAGGGGCTTAGATTGAAGGTAAGAAGGGAAGGTCGGGGACCTAGATAGAAGGTGCTCAGAATGAACATCTCAGAGGGTCCTGAGGCCAGGAAAACGAGTTGCTTGGGGCTGGACTGGGGGACACCTAGAGATGGCAGGGCAAGGGATCAAGGCAGTGAGGAGAGGTAGGCAGGGCCCAGCTGACCCGCTTCTGGTTGTAGTTGACAGCCAGCCGCAGTCTTGCCAGGTTGGGGATGCCCTCCTCGAAGGCCTGGCTCAGTCCTTCAGCCTCAGGCTCAGTCTCGCTGTCGTCGCCCATGTCGTTGAGCACTGCAGTGACCTCGCTCTGGTTCCGGCACATACCCAGCAGCTCAAAACCATAGTCCTGGCTCAACGACTCCAGGGCAATGTACTCAGGCTGTAGGGAAGTAGGTCTGTGTGTGTCAGCCACCTGTGGACACAATTTCCTCCCTACCGCCCCCCCCCCCCCACCCAGACAGTGGACTACCTGTCTTGACCTTTCTACATCTGATATCACTGAGTCATTGACTTCTTTTCTGACACCTCATCAATCTTCTTACTATAATGAGGTACCTCCAAGTCACCTTTGCTTATCTGGTGCTATTTCAACCTCATCACTAAGTTACTTCAAACCAAACCCTCTGTCACCTCAGCCTGTTCCTTGTACTTTCCTTTTTCCTGTCCCACTTTAACTTCTAATCTTTCTTGTGCTCATTTAATTTTGTTGAACATCTACCTTATATGAGAACCCGTGTTGGCAATTTTAGGAGATGCAGAAATGAATAAGGCACATTACCCATCTTACCCTTGATTTCACTTGGGGCCCTTACCCCAGAGAAGATCTAAGGCAGGCTTTCAAGAGGCTAGGTCACCTCCCAGCACTGCCCCTTTGGTGGTGTCACATTGGGTCAGGTCCTTCCCTACTTCAGGCCTCAGTTTCCCTGCCTGAAAAGTGGAGATGGGAACTTTCTACTTTGCTTCCTTCCATGGGCTGCTGTGAGAATGGAGGGAAAGTCCTTTGGAAAGGACCGCCCTTTCCTGCTAGCTGTGCAGTGGGAGCTTTTCATGTTGTCCATCCAAGCTCCTGGTGGGGGAGGCATGCTCCTGCCCTGGCTGGCATGGCAACAGGCCACATCCTGCCTTAGGCTTTCATTTAATTACTTATTATTTTTGCAGTACTGGGGATTGAACCCAGGGATGCTCTATCACTGAGCTATATCACCAGCCATTCTTACTTTTGTTTTTAAATATTTTATTAGTTGTTGGTGGATCTTTATTTATTTATTTTTATGTGGTGCTGAGAATTGAACTAAATGCCTCACACATACTAGGCAAGCGCTCTACCACTGAGCCCCAGCCCCAGCCCTTAATTTTTGAGATAGGGTCTCACCAAGTTGCTGAGTCTAGCCTTGGACTATGCACAAGCCACAGCATATGCCATTGCGCCAGGCTCAGGCCTTCATTTTAACACTCTTCTATGCTTCCCTGTCTAATGGCAATTTTGAGTCTGGCTTGGTTCACAGGATGCCAGTGGCTAAGCGATGGGTGAACAGGATTGGTCCCTGGCTCCAGGCTCCACTCATATATTCGATCTTGCACAGGGTTCCCCTATACTTATCACCACACATACTTTTGCTACCTGACAGCCTTTGCTAGGACTGTAGCCCTACTTCAAATACCCTTCTTGCTTCTCCACGCACAGCTAACCTGAATGCTGCTTCCTCCCTGGAGTGTTCCCTGAACACAACAGCTGCAGCTTCCTGACTGCTTTCTGGGCTTTGGCAGCCCTGTGAACACAGAAGCACTAAATGAAGCCCTGGGAGTGTCTTGTCACCCTCTCCCTGCGTTAGAGTCCCAAGACACAATATCCAGGACCAGGGCCACACCATTGCCTGGCCCCACCCCATGGAACACACAATAGGAACTCCAAAAAGACAGGTTCTACTGAATGTCATATGTAAGTCTGTCCAACTGTTCTTCTATTTTCTTTCTCTTCCTTCAGATAGACCTAGAGCACCCCTAGGGTGGGGGTTGTGCCTCTTGCATAAGACTAGGTGCCCCTAGCCTGGCACGGTGGCAAACACCTGTAATTCCAGCTATTCTGGAGGCTGAGGCAGAAGGATAGCAAGTTCAACCTCAGTAACTTAGCAAGACTCTGTCTCAAAATATAAAACGACTAGGGAAAAAAAAGAACCGGGATGTATCTCCGTGGTGAAGCACCCCTGGGTTTAATCACCAGTATCAACACCACCACGACAAAGACTAGGGGTCCCAGGACTGATTGTGGCTCCTATCTATTCCTGAGAACAGATGCAGGTAACTGAGGGTAGGAGGAAGTGTGAGAACCAACCTTAAACTCAGGCTCCTTGCGTGCAAGGCGCCTGAGCTCGCGGCTGAGCTGGAAGGCAGCCAGCATGGCATCCTCACTCGCCAGTGAGAGGTGGGCCCTGCTCGCAATGCCTCGGTAGGTGTTGATGCGGGACAGAGAGAACTTCAGCAGGTCATACCTGCGGGCATTACTGCACTCAAGGCAAGCGCAGGAGACGGGGTGGGGCCGGGCAATGGTGTGACCCTGGTCCATAAGCAACTGCGCAATCTCATATAGGTCCTTCTGGCAGGCCAGGGTGAGTGGGGTGACACCAGGTGCAAAGCGGGAGCCATCGATCGATGAATCAAAGAAAGCCAGCGAGAAAGACTTGGTGTCTACTTTGTGACCCTTCTCCCTTTCCAGCCGGGCCAGCAGGCGACGCACCACTGCTGGCTGGTTTGTGTCCACTGCTACTAGTAGGGCTTCATGGATCTGTCGGAAATCAAACTTGACATTGGCCAGTAACACATCGGTGATGGCCTCATGACCCAGGCGGATGGCCAGGTTGAGAGCTTCCCTCCAGGAGCGATCCTCAGCCTCCTCCACATTCCGCAGGGGCCCACCTGGCCCACTGCCTGTGGCCTCGACCCCTGACTCCAGCAGCTGCTGCACAAGACCCAGTCGCCCCTCTTGGATGGCACCCAAGAGTGGAGGTGGGAACTTGAGCTTTCTGTTCACAATCTCAGTCCAGTTAGGCTGTAGCTGGATGAAGGAGTGGAGAGGACAGGATTCTGAGTTTCTAGTCTCCTTTGTTTTGGAGTCTCTCTTACCCTCCCACTAGCTACCACTGTGTCCTTCCCTGCCCAATACATACAGGCAAAAAGTCTCTTATTCACCATTTTATTGGGTAGATTCTCATGTTAGTGAAAGAGATAGTGCCAGAATGGATCTGAGCCGGTCCTTGTCCTTAGTTTAACTTCCACCTTCACAGGGACCTAAATACATTGGGTCCAAATGGATGCCCTGAGAAAGGGTAGGTTAAAGCAGGGCTGCACAGGGAGCCTAACCCTACATGTAGGCACAAAGGACCTGGCCAGGACCCAGCTCCCATCTTGTTGACTTCATCTTCCAGCTGCTCATCCCTCTGGAAGTCCCACAGCTTCTCGAAAGGGCAGGTCCAAGCATGTCCACACAGGAAGGTCTTTTTAACTATGAACACCCATCCCCAGCTCTGAATAGAACTCCTACCAATATCCCAACATGTTTTTTTCTCCAACAAACCCCTCTCGCTTTGCCCTCTGCTACTTTGGAGGGCATTTCTGTCTCCTTGGTACTTACTGCCTTATCCCTCTTCTTTGAGGCCCATGCTCATTGCTCTTCCTTTGGGTTCAGTTCAAGGCTCTGGGGGCTCTTCCACTCACATAGTAAAGCTCACAACCTGCCTGGCAGCTAAGCTTCCCCTGCCGACTCACCAATCTATTGCTTTGTCCATAATGAGGAATGGGAGTAGGATGGAGGAAGGGGAGCAGAGGGTTCTTACCGTGAGAGGGTCCATGGCTGCACCCACCTATGCAGGAAAGGACCAAAGGCATGAACTCCTCCTCTGTCTGCTCCCCTGAATGCATCTAGTATCTTCTTTCCCACTCATTCAAAACCCCGCCCCGGGCCCTCCCTTTGCCAGGACCAGCTGCTCCCCCTCTGCTTCCTGCCCTGGGGACCAGTGAAACTGGTGTTAGTGTCATACAATGAAATCCTCTGGGAAAAGGGAGAGAGTGCATAGTTGCTCAAAAAAGGTAGAAATAGAACTTGGACTATCATAGTTTGAGGGAACTTGGAGACCCTCTGGTCCAACTACCTCATTGTGTATAAGGGCAATGGGATTTGTGCAAGGTCCCTGGCATTATTCCCCAGTCATTAAACTATGTGGGCTCTATAACTACTTTGTGAGCAGCAGGTAAAGGGATTTTCTCTGTTTACAACAGTAAATTCTGGGCCCAAGATAAATAACTGTACTAAAGTCACATGGCAGTACGTGATTACAGCTAGGGCAGGAACTAAGGATATAAAAGCCAGTCTCATGCTCAAAACTTATCTTTCCAGAACACAATAGGATCTTATCTGTCAGGCAGTATTTTTCTTTTGACTAGTCCTCAGTTTTCCTTTTAGGAAAATGGACATGAGGATATATACCATTCCTGGAGGGAAGGACATTCTGGACATTATCCCAAGGCCCTAAAGATTACCAGTTCCATCCCAAAAGTTCCAAGGGGGAAAAGGACAGAGCTGCTCTTAGGAGAATTGGGTGCCATGGTGACAGATCCTTGACAACTAGGAATGGGGAGCTGGGCCCAGTGGTACCCTAGGCGTGTCCTGAGGGAATAAATGAAGAGAGGAAGGGAGGACTGCCTTCATCAGTCCTTCTCAGCTGCCAAGAGATCCACTTTCAGGGCTAGGGGTATAGCTCAGCGGTACAGCCCTTTTCTAGGACACATGAGGCCTTTGAATTCCAGCAACAACAATAACAACAACAAAACAACAACAAAAAGAGAGAGAGGTGAGAGGTGAGAGACCTACTTTTCTGTCTTAGTCATAGTGGGGGCCCAAACCACAGGATTTCATGGCTCACGCTGGAAAAACCTCCCCACACACACTGGCATGTTCTTCTATTTCTCTTGCTGAGAACTGTAACTGGCAGATGGGACACTGGACCCAGGAAATGGGAGGTGAACTCTCTGGGGAGGACACCCACAGTACAGACTGGGATGAAGATGGTGAGGAGGGAGAAGCTGGGTGAGGCGGGGAGGTCTCTCCACAAGTGGCAGCATGCAGGGGAAGAATCTCAATGCTGAAGGAACCTAAGGGAGAGATAAAGAGGTAAACACAATTGGGCCTGTTCTTAGGAAGGATGGCACCCCAAGAAGTCTGAAGGGAGCCAGGCATGGAGGCACATGCCTGTAATCCTAGCAACTCAGGAGGCTGAGAGGAGGATCATAAATTCAAAGCCAGCCTCAGCAACTTAGTGAGGCCCTAAGCAACTCAGCAAGACCCTGTCTCAAAAAATTAAAAAGGAATGGGGATGTAGCCTAGTGGTAAAGCATCCCTGGATTCAATCCTCAGTACAAAAAAAAAAAAAAGAAGCCTGAAAGGTGTATCTACTGCCAAAATGCAGCTGTTCTTGTAGAAAATTTATCATGGCTAAATATGTGACACCTGAGAGACACTATCATGTATCTGTCAAACATTTATTAAGTATTCACTATGTGCCTGACAGTATGCTAAGAGCTGAAGTAAACAGACTGTCCTTATGGAATGTAGTCTAGTGGTGAAGATAAACTGGGAACAAAAAAAATATTGACAGAAAGTAGGTGAGAAGTGCATAGTCCATGGAATTAAGAGAATGCTGCAGGAGCTCAACTGGGAGAGATTATTTGTGAAGATCAGAGAAGTTTTGGCAAAGAAGTACCATTCGTTCCAGGGGTGTTCTACCACTGAGCTACATCTCCAGCTCTTTTTTGTGGTACTGGGTATTGAACGCAGGGGCACTCAACCACTGAGCCACATCTCCAGCCCTATTTTGAAGTTTATTTAGAGACAGGGTCTCAATGAGTTGATTAGCGCCTTGCTGAGGCTGGGTTGAACTCTCTATCCTCCTGCTTCATCCTCCCTAGCTGCTGGGATTATAGGCGTGTGCCACTGTGCTCGGCTGCAGCTCTTTTAATTTTTATTTTCTTTCTTTTTAAAAAAAATATTTATTTTTTAGTTGTAGTTGGACACAATACCTTTTGTTTGTTTTTTTGTTTTAGGTGGACACAATATCTTTATTTTATTTTTATGTGGTGTTGAGGATCGAACCCAGGGCCTCACATGTGGTAGGCAAGTGCTCTACCGCTGAGCCACAACCCCAGACCCCTTAATTTTTATTTTCAAACAGAACCTCACTAAATTGTTCAGGGCCTTGCTAAATTGCTGAAGATGGCCTCAAACTTGTAACCCTCCTGCCTCAGTCTTCTAAGTCACTAGGATTACAGGTATATGCCACCACACCCAGCAAGAAATAACAATTTGAACAGAAACTTAGAGTAAGCAGAATTTGGACAGAGAAAAAAGTTATGAAGAAAATTCTAGGCTTTCTCTGACAGTGTTTTACATTGTTTGTGTTTAGCTTCTCCAGAGAGTTGGGGCCCTTGTCACTTCCTCAGCTTACCTGATGTGAAGGGAGCAGGTGCTCAATATAAACTTGTCTTGAATGACATTTGGCTAAAAACACATAGGTGGGACACACAGGTTACATAGGTGGGAACTGTAGAGATGACAGAGGCAAGGAGTCCAAATCCAAAAGTTTCTGCACAGTACCCCCAGATTTCCTATTCTTCCCTTAAGGAATGCTTAGTAATCACATGACCACCCTCCCAGACTGAAGCAGCTTACCTGCACAAATGGGGCATTGTTCACTATCCTGGACACCACTGTTTTGGGCCTGGGATTGGTATTCTCTTTGCCTTGCCTTTACTGTCCCCTTCCTGTTCAGCTGGGAGTTTGAGTTGGTCAAAGGCCTGTAAGAAAAAGCTATCCGTGAGAAGCTATAAGGGCTGAAGGAATCTAGAATTAGAGCAAAAAGTATTTAGAACAGTTATGTTGACCTAGTAACACTGGGTTGGAGTGATAGTTTTCCCATTTGACATACCAGATTTAAAGGACTTTTTTTTTTTTCCTTTTGTAGTACTGGGGATTAAACTCAGAGCCTCTTGCATGCTAGGCAAGTAATCAACTACTAAGTACAACCCTAATCATTTTCATGTTGAAATAGGGTCTAAGTTGCCCTTGCCTTGAACTTGCCATCCTCTTGCCTAAGCCTCCTGAGTAGCTGGTATTATAGGTGTGTGTTACCCTGCTGGGTGAAGGAAATCATTTAACCTTTGAACATCTGACAACAGAGCTTCTGGGGCTGGGGGGTATAGTTCAGTGGTAGAGGGTTTGCCTGGCATGAAGACCCTGGGTTTAATCCCCACTGAAGAAAATGAAACCAAAAAAAACCCAGAGCTTCTATTATTGTTCTTAGATTTAAATCATTTATTTCTTTTCTTTTTAAATTTATGTTTTTGGTTGTAGTTGGATACAATACCTTTATTTTACTTACTTATTTTTATGTGGTGCGGAGGATCGAACCCAGGGCCTTGCTCATGCTAGGTGAGCGCTCTACCACTGAGCCACAACCTCAGCCCTATTTATTTTCTTTTTACACTTTTTTTTCTTTTAAGTTGTAGATGGGCATAATACCTTTATTTTGTTTACTTATGTGGTGCTGAGGATTGAACTCAGTGCCTCATGCATGCGAGACAAGTGCCCTACCACTAAACCACAACCCAGCCCTATTTTTTTAAAATATTTTTTTAGTTGTAGTTGGACACAATACCTTTATTTTATTTATTTTTACGTGGTGCTGAGGATCGAACCCAGTGCCTAGCCTATGCTAGGCGAGTGCTCTATTGCTGAGCTAGAATCCCAGCCCTTAATTATTATTATTATTTTAATATTTATTTTTTTGTTTTAGGTAGACACAATATCTTTTTAATTTATTTTTATGTAGTGCTGAGGATTGAACCCAGTGCCTCGCACATACCAGGCCTGCGCACTATCACTTGAGCCACATCCCCAGCCCCATTAATTATTTTTTAATTGATGTATCATACACATACCATAACATTACCCCCTACTTTTTTTTTTTTTTTTTTTTTTAGTATTGGGGATTAAACCGAGGGGTGTTTAACCACTGAGCCACATCCCCAGCCCTTTTTACTTTTTATATTGAGATGGGTCTTGCTAAGTTGCTGAGATTACAGATAAGTGCCACCATGCTGGGCCCTTCATTTTTTTTTTAAAGGCATAGACAGAGGGCTGGCGATATAGCTCAGTTGGTAGAGTGCTTGCCTCGCATGCACAAGACCCTGGGTTCAATCCTCAACACCACACACACAAAAAAAAGCATAGACACAGGTTTATAGGAAAGTAGAAGTATATTTACAGGAGAATATGGGTTATCTCCAGAAAGACAGTCTGAAATTCACCCTTTTAAAATGTGAACTTTGGCCAGGTGCAGTAATATACCCTGGAATTCCAGCTACTTAAAAAGTTGAGGCAGGAGGATTGCAAATTCAAGGCCAGCCTCAGCAATTTGGCAAGGGCTTAAGTAACTTCGTGAGATCCTGTCTCAAAGTAAAAAAGGACTGAGAATATATGTAGCTTAGTGGTAAAGTACCCCTGGGTTCAAGTCCCAGTACCTCCTCCCCGCAAAAAGAGTGAATTTTGGCAGGCTATAGTGGGCCAAGTCTATAATCCCAGTTACTTGAAAGGCTGAAATGCTGAAAAAGGAGGATTACAAGTTTGAGAACAGCCTAGGCATCTCAAAATAAAAAATCAAAAGAAATGGAATATAGCTCAGTGGAAGAGTGCCCCTGGGTTCAATTCCCAGTACCCACCCTCAACAGGTAAATTTAGTATCTTCACCAAGTCAAGTAACCACAACTATATCTAATTCTGACAGGTTTTTACTACCCACCCCAAAGAAATCCCAAACCCATTAGCAGTGACTCCCCATTCCTCTGTACTACAATACTTATATATACTTCGTGTTTCTATGGATTTATCTATTGTGGACATTCTGTATAAATGGAATCCTACTACATGTGGTCTTTTGTGATGGACTTTTTTCACTCAGTGTTTTCAAGGTTTTTTCATATTAGAACAGGTATTATACAATACATCTAAAATACTAAATTCACCTAGGTATTGGGGATTGAACCTAGGGACACTCTACCACTGAGCTATATTCCATTCCTTTTGATTTTGTATTTTGAGATGCCTAGGCTGGTCTCAAACTTGTAAACCTCCTTTTTCAGCATTTCAGCCTTTCAAGTAACTATAACCATTCCTTTTTCATGGACAAATAATATTCCATTGTGTATATAAACACTACACTTTGTTTATCCATTCACCAGTTGATGGATATTTGGGTTGTTTCTACTTTCCAACTATTGTGAATAATGCTGCTATGGACATATAAGTTATGTGAATACCTGTGGGTATACACTAGGCATAGAATCACTGAATCATGTGGTAACTCTATCTTTAGGTTTCTGAATTGCCAAATTGTTTTCCAAAGCAGGTGCACTATTTTATTTAACTTTGATTTTTTTTTCCCCCAGTGCTGGGGATTGAACCAAAGGCCTTATGAATGCCAGGAAAATATCTACCACTGAGCTATGTTGTCAGTCTAAGCTGCGCTGTTTTACATTCCTACTGGTAATTTATAAAAGTTCCAATTTCTCTAAATCTTTGCCAACACTTGTTATTGTCCATCTTTTTAATTAGTCATCCCATTTCTCTGATGGTGACTGATGCTGTGCATCTTTCATGTTTATTGGTCATTTTACATCTTCTTGAGAAAAAATTCTATTCAGATTCTTTGTCCATTTTTTAAAAAATATTGTTTTAATTGTTGGTGGACCTTTATTTTATTTATTTCTATGTGGTGCTGAGGATCGAACCCAGTGCCTCAGACATTCTAGGCAAGCACTCTGCCACTGAGCCACAACCCCAGCCCTCTTTGTCCACTTTTACAATTAGGTTATCTTTGTATCGTTGATTTAGAAGAGTTCTTTATATATTTTATATTTAAGAGATATATATATAAAATATGTAATATAATATACAAATATTTTCTCCCATATTCAATGGAATATCATTTTATTTCCTTGAAAATGACTTTTGAAGCAGAAAAGATTTAAATTTTTATGAAATCCTTGAGACGCAGTGTACTCATCTACAGATTCTGGCTCCCTATAGGGCTGCCTTCTTGCCTGATGACACACGGACAAGTACTTGTTTCTCTTCTAAGTTCTAGACTAAGAGCTCAAGACCCAGACCCAAGGGTGCTCTCTGACCTACCTGACGCATGAGTGGGTGGAGAACAGCTGTAGAAGGATGATAAGGTTTGGGGAGGTGATTTGGCCTTTCACGTTGACCTACTTACCTTTGGTCCTGCATTTTTCGTCTCTTTGTCCTGCCAACATCATTCTCTGAGTCCTCCTCCTCTGCTCTGGGCACTGTGTTAGAAATGCTCATTAAAGATAGCTCATTCACAAAAGGTTTTCACATATCATGTATCTTCTTTGAAGAATACCGTTTCCACCCTCTTTGCCTGGTTAATTCTCACTCTTCAAGTCTTAGATGAAATGCTATTGCCTATGAGTCGTTTTTCCTGGATTCTCTAATCTAATTCTAATCATCCTATTATGATTTTCCTTCGCTGTACTTATCACTATTTTAGTTTCAGATTTCTTTGTGTGACATGGGTACATATCTCCTCATTAGGGTAGAATCATTGCTATTTTATTTACTGTGGTAACATGGCACATGCTTGGCATGTAAGAAATGTTCAATAAATATCTGGCAATGAGTGATAACAAAATTTAGTAACTGTCATCTGTCTAGTTATTCAGAATTTAAGAGACATTTTGTACAGCATTTAATATCAAAGTGCTTTTATAGCTCTGGAGCTCAGTATGTAGTAAATGTCCCAAAATGGTTGGTTCCATTCCATTTTCCTTCTCTTAAAATAATAAACTATGTCTTTCATTATATGGAAGACAGCTTCTGAGAGGACTCCCATTGATTGCTGTCTCCTGATATTCATGTCTCTCCCTGAGTGTGGCCTGGACCTAATGACTTGCTTCTAAAGAACAGCATATGACACAAGTGATGGGATGACATAATCTGTCAGTTTCTTGCAACATGCTGTAGCATGTGCACACTCCCTCTCTCTGGCACTCCATTTTGCCCTCTTGTTTGTTCACTAATGAAACAAGCTACCACACTGTGAGATACTTTATAGAGAGTATTTCATGGCAGAGGAAATTTTTTTTTTTTTTTTTTTTGTACCAGGGATTGAACCCAAGGGTGCTTAGCCACTGAACCACATCCCCAGCCCTTTTAAATATTTTATTTAGAGACAGGGTTTTGCTGAGTTGCTTAGGGTCTCACTAAGTTGCTGAGGCTGGCTTGGAACTTGTGATCCTCTTGCCTTAGCCTCCTGAGCCTCTGGGATTATAGGCATGCACCATTGTGCCTGGATAGCAAAGGAATTGAAGGAACCACAGTCCAATATCACATGAGGAAATGAATCTGACCAACAACCATGTGTGTGGGTTATGAAGCAGGCCCTTTCCAGCTGAGCACTGAGATGGCTACAGCCTTGTGACAGATCCAGAGCTAGAGGACCCACCTAAGCCATAAGTGGATTCTTAATCATCACAGACCATAAGATGATTTTGAGGTAATCTGTTACACAACAAAACAGAATCAATATTTCCTATTTTTGCAATAAAATTATACATTCATTATTTCACTAATTTGTTTAGTCCTTTGAAATGATAGGCAAACCTTTTCCTTTAAAAAATTTTCCCAATGAAACAACAAACTATCCTGTGTTTTTAACTTTTTGTTGATAACCTTATTGGTTTTCTCTTTCTTGCTATTTGGAAAAATAAAAAGAACAGAATGTTAGAGTGACTCAAAAATGTAACCTCTTTGAACCTTACATTCTTTGTAAAGTGAGGATATAAGTTTGTTGTGAACATTAAATAGGTAAAGTTGGTAAAAGTGCCTAGCAATGTCTGGTGCAAAACAGAACCCCAAAAGTCTTTTTTTTTTTTTTTTAATATTTATTTTTTTTGGTTTTTGGTGGATACAATCTTTTTTTTTTTTTTAATATATATATTTAAAATTGTAGATGGACCCAACACCTTCATTTTATTTATTTATTTTCATGTGGTGCAGAGGATCAAACCCAGTGCCTCATGCATGCTAGGCAAGCACTCTACTACTGAGCCACAATCCTAGCCCCACCAAGAATCTTTTAATTATTTCTTCTTTTCTCATTAAACTACACTATTCTGCCACCTTATTTCTCCAATAAACTCCAAACCCCATCACTCTTCAATTGTCTTTCTGAGATGACCACAGAATAAGGATACTCTAAGAAGTCTAGGTATTTAGTTTAATCCCTTCACTTTTAAGACAAGGGAACTGAGGCCCAAAGAGATAAGGATTTTTGATTTAGGTCAATGCTCTTTCAATCATTATATATTATTTGACTTCTCTTCTCTGCTGACAATAGTTTTTTTTCTTTCACATGAAGTACTACTTGTGAGCCATCCATGTACAGCAGTGGTGGATTCAAGAAAGGACATTGCTAGGAACATTAAGGAGCAGGTTACTAGGCCTTACCTGCTTTCTTTGGAAGACTGGGACCTGGTTCTGCATGATTGCTCTTTGGGCTTGCCACACTGGCTGAAGGTGCCCTGCGGGCTGCAGAAAGCACCATATGGGCTGAACGCCCCAGAGTCCCTGGTTGTAGCTGCTTTAGGATATCCTTGAGCTCTGAAATCTTCTTAGAGCTTCTGCAGAGAAATAAGAGTTAATAATTTCACTTGGAACACAGATCCCGTTCTGCTCACCCAAGTTGCTGGCATCTAGTGAGAAAGCCAGTTTGATATATGGGTAGGGTTAGGGCGAGAGAGATGTGATTAATTAGGGAAACCCAGGCTGGGCTTGTGTGCTTGGGAGTGACATGGTAGCCTTTCTCTTCTAGGAGAAAGATCTGAGAAGTGACTGGTAGATCTTTGCTCTGGCAGCTACATACGTCTGGGGTTCTGGGAAGAATGTCCTCCGGATAGAAGGATTAGCCAGCCAGGGTTGAGGATGTGACTCCTGAGTGTCAGAAGAGCCCTGAGAACAGAGAAATATGGAATATCAAGATCCACCACCAGGGGACACTGTCACCTAGGAACTCATCTTAGTGAATGTATCTGCTGTAACTTATACATGGTATATTGGCAGATGTGTGCAGACTCTCAAATTCTCTTCTGGTTCTATGATATAAGATTCTGTGATTTTGTATATTTAGTTCTCCAATGCAAAGAGTTTTGCCATGACCATGAAAACCCCCATGGATAAAAAAAATACACCTATTGGAAAAAACAGGGCTATAGAAACTGATATCATGTGCAAACTTTTGTTTGTCATGTTCAAACTTTCAAAAATATGTATATTTTAATTGTCAATATATAAAATTGATTCAAGTCATTCATCTCTATATATCTTTTTATACCTCTATTTTTAATTTAATTAATTTATTTATTTTTATGTGGTGCTGAGGATCGAACACAGGGCCTCATACGTGGTAGGCAAGCGCTCTACTGCAGAGCCGTCTATATATCTTTGAGAGAAAAAAATAATATGTATGTATTTATTTGATAATATTGTTTAATTAACAGCATGATTCATTTTGTGAACAATTTTGTTCATGTGCAATAAAAGCCTACCACATTTGGTGATCATTTCTAGCTACCTATAAAGAGATGTTTATTTTTATATATATATATATACACGTGTATAAATGTGCGCATATATAGATATCACATGATCATTTCTACATAGATTTTTATTTAGGTAGTACACTACAGTTTCTAATTCTTTGTCAAAGCAATGCATCTGTGAGGTGGGGTTGTGGCTCAGTGGTAGAATGCTTGCCTAGCCCTCACAAGGCACTGGGTTCAATCCCTAGCACCACATAAAAAACCTAAATAAACAAAGGCATTGTGTCCATCTACAACTAAAAATATTTTTTTAAAAAATGCACCTGTCATTATTGACCTTTTTATTTTTTCAAATTTCCTTTTTTCCCTTAAGTTAAAAAGAATAATTGGGTTGGGGATGTGGCTCAGTGTCATAGGCTGCTTTCCTAGCAATGTGAGGCCCTGGGTTTGATCCCCAGCCCTACAGAAAGAAGCTACATCTCCAGCCCTTTTTTGTAATTTTTTTAGAGACAGGGTCTCACTGAGTTGCTTAGTGCCTTGCTAAGTTGCTGATGCTGGCTTTGAACTCATAATCCTCCTGCCTCAGCCTCCCAAGCTGCTGGGATGTGCCACTTCATTTGGCTTATTATGGATTCTTCTAAAGGTAAATGTTTTTATAAAGTATGACTTGACCTCATTCTGAAAGCTTGGAAATTAGTATTTTTATTCACATTGACTGTTTACTATTTCTTTTCTTTCTTTCTTTTTTTTTTGCATTTCTTTATTTTATTTATATATGACAGCGGAATGCATTAAAATTCTTATTACACATATAGAGCAATTTTTCATATCTCTGGTTGTATATAAAGTAAAGTCACAACAATTCGGGTCTTCATACATGTTCAATGTTTACTATTTCTAATTGTCATTATAAACTATAATTATTTTTAAAATATTTTGTTTAATTTTTGAGGATTTTAGTTTTTTTTCTTTATATAATTGCATGAATTTTATTTTATATTTTCTGGTGCTGGGGATTAAACTCAGAGTCTAATACATGCTAGAGTACCACCGAGCTATATCCCCAGCCCTGCCACATGAATTTTAGAGTGAATACTACTAGAAAGGGTAACTAACTAGATATGTGTTTGGAGATAATTATTTAACCTTAATTCTACATGAGATTGATCATTAGAATTTAGCTTATGAGCACAGGCCAGGTGGAGTCAAGCAGCTTGGGTTCAAATCCTCTCCAAGAATTAGCAGTGTGACCTATTTTCTTACTAGAATATTTGTGATCATAATAACTCTATTTCAGAAGGTTAAAAGCTGTTATGTTTTGCTTTCACTCCAATATACCAATTAGAATTACACTGTAGAAAAAAAGGCCTATGACATTTTAGATATCTTAAAATTATAAAACTGAGTATCACCAATGGTTTCCAAGTACCAACTGGCTCTTGTCAGAATGTTTTACACTGCCTTTTCTTATGATTTCATGCGGTAACTACATGTGTGTTTAACTCTATTCACTGTTCAGTGCCTTACTGACTCGGCTCTGGAGTTGTTAACTTTCTTTCTTGCAAGCCAATCAAGGTTGTGGAAGTGCAGAGTAATTCAACGGCCAAAATGAAAGAAATTCTGGAAATCCCTTATTTATCCAAAAAGTAAGGTGATCATATATATGTCCTGGTTTGTCTGGGACAGTCCTGTAAATATTTTTTCTTTCTCTTTCTTTCTTTCTGTAGTGGGGACTGAACCCAGGCTAACTGAACTCTACCATTGAGTTACATCTTCAATCCCTTTTATTTTGAGACAGGATCTTGCTAAATTGCTGAGGCTGGCTTCAAACTTGAGACACTCCTATCTCAGCCTCCAGCTGGTATTATAGGTGTGTGCCACCATGCCTGGCTTCCTAAATTTTATCTATCTATCTATTTATTTATTTACTTACTTACAGTATTGGGGATTAAACCCAGGGCCTCAAGAATGCTAGGCAAACACTCTGCCATTAAGCTACCTCCTTGGCCTTCCCAGGCCCATTTTAAAACATTTTGAGACAGGCATTAAATTGCCCAGACTAACCTTGAATTTGTGATCTTCCTGAGTAGCTGGGATTATAGGTGTGTGCCATTGAGCTGGGCTCATTACAAATATTAATAGTACTCTCTTTTGCCTTTAAAGTGTTTTGGTTTGAATAATAATACTTTATGTGACTATCTGCAACTCCCCTCCAAGGGTCCTTTACACAATGAACTTTTTTACCAGGAAATGTTCTAGGTGCCAGGAATACATTTATAGAACAAGACAAACAGGTCCCTAATTTCACAGAGCTTCCATTTTATTGAAAGGCCAGGGTCATGGAGATTTAGCTCCATTCACGTCAGCTCCGGGCCCTGCAATCCTGGAACCTGGCTCACTCACTTGCACTTCCCTGTGTAAGGGAGAGAAGGGGAAGAGTTCATTCCTACTTGTAAGAAAGGGCAGCATGCCCACCTGTGCTTGTGTGCAGTGTGTCTACCCCTCATTATCAAGCACCAGCTTTCTAACCCAAAACCCTCAAAGGGAGGGAAAATACTAAATCCTGGTTCTACCCTAGTACATACCTGGCTTAGCTCAGAGCTCACAGGGACTGAGAGATCCATCACAGGGTCATCTGAGGAGTCCAGAGAGGAACGCACCCGCAGAAAGGCCAGGCCAAAGGACTGATGACGTGTGAACGGTTGGGAACAAGTCAGGCGAAGTCGATCCCATGATTCTCCTGAGGCTGGAGCCAGGAAATCATCTCAAGGAAAAAAGACAAACAAACTGAGGGGGAAAATGAATTAATGGAGGGAAAAAAATAAAAGAAAGTTTATCCCAAGGAAAGAGAAGACAGGTTATACAGAGCAAATTTCAACAGGACGAAGAATGAAGACGACCAGTAAATATTCCCCTCAGGTTTAGGTGCTCAGGGAATGGTAATACCAAGTAGTCCTGTTAGGGCTCTTTCAGACCCAGTTCCTTGCCTTCTGACCATCACTCCCCCATTATGCTTCCACACCATTTCCAGCCTGGGTACATCCTTATTCTACAACTCTCTAGGGACCTCATCAATATCTCAATCAACCAAGAGGCATCTGTGGTGCTAGGGTATGGGGAAACAGCTTACTCATGGATTAGCTGAGATATCAACCCTTCCTGAACCACAAGACCTCAACCTCTCTCACGATGCTATAAGTCCTGCACATTCACTCACTCATAGTATCAAACACTGATGTTACAAACTCTTTAATTTCTAACACAACTCTAATTTCTAACACTATCCAGTCAGGACTTCATCCTCTCCACCTCACATGCCCCTCCAGTATCATTCTTCCTTTATGACATTACAAACACCTTCAATTTAAACACAGACAAATCTTTACTAGGCTCTAAATCCCTAGAGGACAGGAATCAAATCCTATGTTTCTTTTGCAGTGCCCACTGAGCATATCTACATAAACAGAATTCAGGAAACACTATATGCTACATAAAATATAACCATTATGTAGCCTTCTGCTACTTACATCTATACTTATATACATTTATACAAACAAAAAACATAGTAATTAACATGTGTTTTGTTTCAGACTCTACAAGTCACGGGAAATACCAATCATACAGTAGCTAATAAACATCCCCAGCTATCAGGCATCCTCGTCACGAAGAATTCACATACAAGCATGTCACTCACTAATTAATCTACTTCTTAGGAAGTAGCCTAAGATAACTAAGCCCTTGAACAGGCTCCCTCCCACAATCTATACTCCAAAGCACTTACATCCTCTCTAGTACTGCATCCTTCTTACTCGGGAACATACCCCCCTTCTGCTGTTGCCCTCTTTACCATTTTTAAACATGCGGACCCCTGAGCGGTTCTTCCCCTGCTTTGAATCGGTGAGGGACATTAGTGTGGTTGCAGGGAGCAGGGTGATGAAAGGTCTGTCTAGGGACCAGGAAGAACGGCCCACATCAATTTGCAGGAAAGCACAGCCACAGTTACCTGGGGACAAAAGGATGAGAAAAGGATAAGTGCGATAGAAATAATTATACACAAGGGAACTGGACGGGAAGAGGACATTCCTCACTCTAAAACTAGCAGGTAGTCAGAAAGGTCTGGCAACATGTGGAATCACACAAGGAACCAATAATTTAATGATAACACAAAGGTTCTGTATCAGGCTACATGACAACATGGAATTACACTAAATGACCATGGGAAGATCCAGCAGAGACTTGCTGCTTCCCTGTCCTGGGCCCTGAAAGCAGTGCCAAATTCTGTTTCTCTTATATCCTTGCTAGGAAGCCCAACATCTTTCTGTCCTAATAAAGTTGGCACCAGATGACTTTGTCAATTCTCTATTTCAAAGAATTCTTAAGTCAACCTTTTCCTATGCACAGTTCACCTTACCAGTAATCCTCAGACACTAATATTTAGAGGTGTATACAAATTCTATTTGTTGGCATTTATAATTAGGCCAATGTCCTAAGGCTTTACACAGATCACACAGATCAAAGCCGAACATTGCATAGTTCAAGGAGCTCCATTCACACTGTATTTCATATGAATGGAGACCATGGAGTTCTCCAACACCAAATCGGCCCCAAGGGCAAAGGCCACATTTCTCCTTCACACCTGTGCAGGGCTTATTCCAGAAGGCTGCTTGGCTGGAATGAACTAAGACCTCTGAGTAGTGGGGTTAGAGGGGAATATCACTCCAGTGTCTTACCTCAGAGGCCCCAGGGAACTCACTCACCTACATCAATATAGCTAATGGGCACTGCCCTCTCCAGCTGTAGTTCCACTTTCAGTTGCCCACTCTTGTCCTGAGGGCAGCTGAGCCAAGGCCTCCCCTGACTATCTGGGTTCAGCAAGTTCTCCACAGGATACTTGGGATCCTAAGTCAGAGAGAGAAGGAGAGAATCAGGAACTTTACTAAGTCTATGGGGAAAAATATGCCCATGAATAAGGCATCCCTATAATCCCAAGTCTTTTAAAGCATCCTAACATTACAGAAAGGCACCAGATGGGAATCCACAGTAACACAGGAACCATGTACCAAGAGATTTAGATACCATCTACCTCTATCTATTTACCAGACTCCCTCATTTAATCCTACATGTTTATTATTATTACTTCTTAGTAAATCAATAAACTGAAGTTTAGGGAAGCTCGGAAACTTACCCAAGGACTCATGCCAGATAACCAACCAAAGCAGGTTTCTAAAACCAGAGCTTTTAACCATTACACTCTACTAATGTCTTTGATTTATCAGCTATTTCAGACATTTTCTTATGTTTATAACAATCCTAAAAGGGCAAAGATTTTTTTTTAAAGAAAGACAGAGAGAGAGAGACAGAGAGAGAATTTTTTTAATATTTATTTTTTAGTTTTCGGCGGACACAACATCTTTGTTTGTATGTGGTGTTGAGGATCGAACCCTGGCCGCACGCATGCCAGGCGAGCGTGCTACCGCTTGAGCCACATCCCCAGCCCCAAAGATTTTTATTCTAAGTTTACAATGGATGCTATATATAAAGTGATTATTCCAAGACAATAATAGTGATATATTTACATAGAAAGAAATTCTGAGTTTTAACCCAAAGTCAGATACTTTTTGGTTGAGAGGCCTTAAACAAACTACTTCCTCTTTGGATCAAAAATTTTTCATCCATAAGGAGAGCGGGGAAGCTAGACACATTTTTTAATAATTTTTTTAAGAGAGAGAGAGAGAGAGAGAGAGAGAGAGAGAGAGAGAGAGATTTTTAATATTTATTTTTTAGTTTTCAGTGGATACAACATCTTTATTTTATTTTTATGTGGTGCTGAGGATTGAACCCAGCGCCCCGCGCATGCCAGGCGAGCGCGTTACCACTTGAGCTACATCCCCAGCCCTAGACACATGGTTTCTAACCATGTTATTCCAGCAATAAAATCCACCCCCTCCTTTTTTTTTTGGTGGTGCTGGGGGTTGAACCCAGGGCCTTGTGCATGCAAGGCAAACACTCTACCAACTGAGCTATATCCCCTGCCCCAAATCCCCTTTTGTAACTGAAATCTTATACTGAAGCATGTTATGTGTGTGTTTGAATATTTTTTTCAACAAATAGAAGCAGAGCTCTGGTTAAAGCACAGGTTGGGGGGATGCCTAGAGACATACTTGTCCTCCCTCCTTTCAATTTCTAGAAGTTGGCCCCCACATAGTAGGGTTGGAAACCACAATATTGGAAGATGGATAATTACTTCATTTCATTTATTATTGTAGCTGTACTGGGGATTGAACCCAGGGGTGCTTTACCACTGAGCTATATCCCTAGCTCCTTGTATTTTTCAGTTTGAAACAGGGTCTCACAAAATTGCTGAGGCTGGCCTCGAACTTTCAATTCTTTTGCTTCAGTCTGCCGAACGGCTGGGATTACAAGCATGTGCCACCATGTCCAGCTTCTGGCATTTTTTTTTTTGTTTTTTTAATACAAATGAATCAGTCTTACCTAAAATTTTATTTTAGTCTGTTAGTACTATTTGTTTAAATTGCTCACACAAAATACATTCCATCTAAAAAGGAAATATAAAGTTCTTCTGGCAGTCCAAAAATAATTGATAGGGCCTATCCAAAGGTCTTCCACTACAGTTTAAAGAAAATCTAAAAGTAGTTTAAAACAAACTGGATGTTTTATTCTCTGGGCCATAAGAGATTTTCAAAATCACTTTGATTTTTTTGAATCCCATCAATTGTCAATCATAGCAGGAAAACCCCTGAGCTGATTTCTGATAATAAAGTTATCAGAGAAAAGAAAAAAAAAATACATATATATATATATATATATATATATTTTTTTTTTTTTGGTACTCAGGATTGAACCTAGAGGCACTTACCCACATCCCCAGCCCTTTTTACTTTTTTATTTTGAGGCAGAGTCTTGCTAAGTTGCTCAAGGCCTCACCAAGTTGCTGAGGCTGTCTTTGAACTCCCGATGCTCCTGTCTCAGCTTCCCAAGCCATTGGGATTACAGGTATGTGCCACTGCAACTGGCTCAGTGAATATAATGAATTATAAATGATTACTGGCACCATGAAGACTTGAGTAGGGAAGGTGCCTTGCAAGTTAGCTTAAGTATCACCTGTGCAGGAGTAACTGTGTGTCCCTAGAGCAGCCTTGTGCTATGGACTTCTACACTTCTGGGTTCACAGTGGTACTCAGGACCAAGAGCCAAAAGCACAATATGCAAACTCTATGAAGGCTTTATAATAAGAGACTAATGCAGGAGGCACAGTCTAAATACTAAAAATGATAATGCGATCTTGAGTACCTTCAATTTTATTAAGTTATTTTACATGTGTTATGGTTAGCTTCTAGCTTTTATAAGACTATGAGTCTATGAAGAAAACTGTTCAGGATGACTATGAAGATAAGCAGGATAAGTGTAATTATTGTTTTATTTTACTTAGAAGTTAATATAGTAGTTCCTAAAGACCCTCTAAGGGTATTTCTGAAATGTGTAGGGATGTTTTTGACTATCATAATAACTAATAAGCAATACTGTTATTGGGGCACAGGGTTAGGGATGCTAAATATCCCACTATGCAAATAATATTGCTGTAAAATGTAGACTTATCCCCCGAAATGCCACAGCACCTCTGGAGAAAGACCAGAGTTAACACGAGAGGAGGAATAAATGGGTAGAGCAATGATAATAGAGGAAAATGTGGGAAATGCTCGGGCTCAGGGTCTGGGATTTAGCTCTAAGTGGGAATTATAGAACATTTAGGGAAGAGGCTGAGATCACACTTGATGGTGGTCATGATATCACAGGTCAGGTATGATGTTGAGTGTTCTGGTCTGCTCTCAATGACAAGACTGACCAAATGGTTGTTCTGGGGACCCTGGTGCAGATTCTGGGCCTAGGAACTACCCAGCACCCTTAAGCTATTAGTGGAATCCTGAGGTACCTCCTTTATGGAACTTCAAGTCCTGGGAACATTTCTATCAGTTTCTTGCACTGCTCTGGGAACAACCTGAAGGCAAGAACTATTTTTTCCCTTAGATTCTGGATTCCCAGAGAAGGCATCATGTCCTTTCTATTAGACTGGGAGTTTCCTGAAATTAGAGCCAAGTCTCCTACTTTGTTCATTCCTTTCAGTCATCAAGGAAAACAAACAAACAAACAAACATGCCCATTGATTGATATACCTGAGAGGAAAATGACACCACATGACTGATCTTCACAGGAGCCATGGCAGGCCTATCAGCTGTCCAAGTACAGGGCAAAAATGCTTTATCTCAAGAATTCTTCTGTTACCACTTTGACACTGGTTTATGTTTTGGTTTTAGCAGCTTCCAGAAGAACAAGAATCTTCACATTACTCCTGAAGAAAAAAACAAAAGAAAAATAAACTACTATCAACTTTGGAGGCTGAGGATCTCAAGTTTGAGGTCAGCCTCAAGTCACTTAGCAAGAAGATGTCTCAATTTAAAAAAAGGGCTGGGGATGTATTTTCAGTAGTACAGTGCCTCTAGCTTCTATTCCCAATACTGCCAACCAACCTACCAAACAAAAAAGGCCCATAAGAAAAAGAAAAAAAAAAAAGACAAAAAAAAATTATGGCTGTTTCTCTAATTATATGAGTTTTTGAGGCCATCAGCCCATTTGTTTCTTTCTTCTTCTTCTTCTTCTTTTTTTTTTGTGTGTGTGTGTTCCCAGGGATAAAAACCCATGGCCTTGATCAAACCCAGTGCTGTACCACTGAGCTATATTTCTAGCCCTCAGCCAGTTTCTGATGATTACTACTTTGGGCCTAGTGGGGGTGATGGGCAGGGAGCAGATCTGAACCATCTAATGAGATTCCAAAAAAAGTGTGAAATAACTGGAGTGCAACATCAAGGCAAGAGAGCAGCAAGTACAAAACATATTAATGTTAATGTTGGATTTATATGTAGATGAGTTCCTAAGAGAGTATGAATTGCCCCTTAAATTGTTTATCATTTTTTTTTTTTTTAAAACAGTACTGGAGATTGAACTCAGGAGTACTTTAACTACTGAGTTATACCCCCAGTCCCCTTTCCCTTTTTGCTGGCCTCAAGCTTGTGATCCTCCTGCCTCAGCCTCTGGGATTGTAGGTGTGCTGCTCTACCTCTCCAGGCTTTTTGCTGAGGCTGAAATTGTAATCCTCCTGCTTCAGCCTCCTGAGTTGCTGGGATTATAGGCATGCAACATGGTGCATGGCTCGCTAAACTTTTTATAGGAAAAATTTAAGTATATGGAAAAGCATACATATTAGTATAACAAACTGATGCATCCATCACCTAGCTTCAAAAATTCCTTAGTGAGAGATGTTTTAAAGTTATCTGAATGTATTTCAGTGAGTTCTCTCTTTAAATATTTATGCTGGCTCATTTTATTCATGTTTTCTCGCTGATCCTGGATATACTCCTGGCCATAAAGATCCTTTTTTGTATCTCCAACCAAAATTTTTTTTCCTACCTTCAAGACTCTGCTCATGCCATTACCTCTGCTTGAATTGCTTGTTCTGATATAGAAAGTTAGGGATACAGAAAGAACACCAAGTCTCTAAAGGAAAAATATTCCTATTAATATATAGAACAAATAATTCATAGACTGTCTAATGAGCAGGATAAAGGAGACTAAAGGACAGAAAATGGTCAAAATGTAAGGATGCACTAAATAGTCCACAAATTACTTTCAACTTTCCAGTTCCCTATCAGTTTTTTGGAACATAGCAAAATAGGAACAAAACCTCAACAGAAAGAGATCATTAATCTTGTCAGGGAAGGGAGCTAACATTTGATTGAACCATAACCCAGTGATCATCAGAGATGTTCATGTAATCGAAACCTACATTCCAAACCCCCAGTGGGAAACATGATAATTCTGAATCCCAGAGGGAAGTTCAATCCTTTTGCATACAATATTCCACCTAATTATGTACCCTAACAAAAATCCAACCTTCAGCCCTGGCAATGTGGCTCACTCTTGAGATTGCCTGCAGCAGGGAGTAGACCTTTGCCTTTTGCCTTATAACAAAGCTCTTCCTCTCTTTACTAAAATTCTTATTTGTGATGGAGCCAAGGACCTGGAAGTTCTAATTAGAGGTCTCCTTCAGACCTCCTCAGACCCCTTTCAGACAGTTCCCTTTCCAACTTGTCAAATTGAATGCATTTTAGTGATCAAACTTCACTTTACCTCTGCTTCATCAGTTCCAAGTGATAGCTCCATCCTATCAATTCTCACTTAGCACTTAATAGAGTGCCTCACACAACAATCATTTATGTCCTATGTTCCTTGACAAATTGTAAACTCTTGCAGAACAGGTTTCATGTCTGACTTGTTGCTGTATACCCAATGTAAAAGGCAGAAAAATTGAGCTCCAAAGGGCTTGAAGTCATGCAGTAGGGTAGTCTGCAGCAACAGGAGTAACAAAACTCTTAGTGACTACCTCCTAATTATCAAGCATTCCTAACAGGTCAATGTGTTGTTAAGGCTTCAAAGACAGAAGAATGAAGGATGAGTCTTGAGTCACCTCTTTAGTCCTCCAGGTGTTTTTTATTTGGTACCAGGTATTAAACTCATGGGCACTGAGCCACTGAGCCACATCCCCAGCCCTATTTTGTATTTTATTTAGAGACAGGGTCTCACTGAGTTGCTCAGCATTCTGATTTTTGCTGAAGCTGGTTTTAAACTCATAATCCTCCTGTCTCAGCCTCCTGAGCTGCTGGGATTACAGGTGTGCACCATTGGCTCCAGGTGTGTTTGTTTGTTTGTATCAGGAATTGAACCCAGGGTGCTTAACCAGTAAGCCACATCCCAGCCCTTTTTATTTTTTATTTAGACAGAGTCTAAGTTCCTCAGAGCCTCACTAAATTGCTGAGGCTGGCTTTGAACTTTCCATTCTCTTGCCTCAGCTTCCTGAGTTTCTGGGATTACAGGTATGTGACATCACACCCAGCAAGTTCACCAGATTTATGAAACTGATTAGTCCTGGAATGGGAACTCACTGGACATTCAAATTTTTATTATTCTCTGTGAGATATTGAAAACATCAGAATTAGATATAATCTGTTTTAGATAAACTCACAGTACAGGTTGTGCATCCTTAAACTTAAAATCTAAAATATGCCAAAATATGCCACTTTTTTAGCACCACCATGATGTCACAGTGGAAATTCTACATCTGACCTCCTGTGACAGATTTCAATGAAAATGCAGGTGACTAAAATTACTGTATAAAATCACTTCAGGTATAAGGTATATACAAAACATAAATGAATTTCAGTTTAAAAATGGGTGTTATCCTCATCAAGTATATGCAAATATTCAAAATCTGAAAAATCAAAAAATCCAAAACACTTCTGGGCCCAGCATTTCCTATAAGGGATGCTTTACCTGTAATATATTTGTGATAGAAAAACATCATTTTTTCATTACCATCAAACAGATATCTGATTTAACAAGCCCTAAGCCACTGAGCCACATCCCCAGCCCTATTTTGTATTTTATTTAGAGACAGGGGTCTCACTGAGTTGCTCAGCACCCTGCTTTTTGCTGAGGCTGGCTTTGAACTCATAATCCTCCTGTCTCAGCCTCCTGAGCTGCTGGGATTACAGGTGTGCGCCACTGGTGCATCCTAGTTCTATTCACTCAATAGATCCAGGCTGGACGCTGAGAGGGCGTGTGAGCTAGGGTTACAGATCTGCAAGCTAATGAATTCAGACATACGAAGAACAAGGTGTTGAAAATCAGTGGCTTGGGAACCCTGAAGTTGTTGATTTTGGATATTTGATTTTGTTTTGTTAATATTTGGGGAGTTTCTAGTAGGTATCAGGCATTGTATTAGGTGTTGGAAACACAGTGGTGAATGACACATACAATCTTTTGTAAGAAGATAATCAAATTGTCCAAGAGATTAAGTTCTTACAGACCTCCTTGCCCTTACAAATGCTGTTGTTTCTGGGGTTTTTTTGGTAACTGTTTACCCTATGCCCCTTCTTGCTTCTTGAGGATATGGATTTTTGTCATGTTCATCATCTTCTACATCTCAGAGATGGTCTAAACACCGTAGGCACTAATAAATATTCACTGAAAGAAGAGGATATTATATAACTCCAATTAGAATTTCAACAGATATTTCTGGCAACCTGAAAACTCAACAATCAATTAAAGGTTACAAATTGCTAAGATGTTTCCAAAAAGAAAGATGAAAGAGGTAGGGTATCAAATTTTTTGAAAAAATCATAAAGTTTAGTAATTAGAACATACTGTCTATAGAAATAGGCAAATAGATTCTAGAAACACTGGTATAGATGAGAACTCATATCCACCAACTGTAAGATAGAGCAGGATAGTAATTCTTTTAGAAAAAGATGAGGTAATATATATAGTCAAGGTATTCAGAAAATTGGTTGACAATGTAAAGAAAAATGGAAATAGATCCCTATCTTGCAACTATTTAAAAAATTATACCCCAGCAGGGTGCGGTGCTCCACGCCTGTATTCCCAGCAACTTGGGAAGCTGAGGCAGGAGAAATGCATGTTCAAGTCTAGCTTCAGCAACCTAGCAAGACCCTGTCTCAAAATAAAAAACAAAAAGGGCTACGGATGTGGCTCAGTGGTAAAATACCCCTTGGTTAAATCCCCAATACCATAAAAAAGAAATATATATATGGCATATATTTGTGTGTGTGTGTGTGTGTGTCTCTCTCTCTCTCTCTCTATATATATATATATATATATACACACACCAGTGGATCAAAGATGGAAACATGAATAACAATACTTTAAGACAACATAAACTAGGTTAAAATACAGATGGCTAAGAAAAAGTTTACTTACAACACATGTAAACTTGGCTAGTATTCCAAGTATATTTTTTTAAAACCTACAAATCAGTAAGAATAAGCAAACCAATAGAAAACTGGGTAGAAGATGCAATTCACATAAGGTGAAATCTGAATGAACGAAAGCCCATATAGAAAAACTCATAGCCTGGTAATAAGGAAATTGCAAATATATTTCTTTCCTCTAAGACTGGCAAAAAACTTAAAAGTCTGATAATAGCCAGGCACAGCGGATCACGTCTATAATCCTAGTGGCCAAGGAGGCTGAGAAAGGAGGATCACAAGTTCTAGGCCAGCCTCAGCAACGTCGCAAAGCCCTAGGCAACTTAGTGAGACTTTGTCTTAAAATAAAAATATAAAAAAGGGATTGGGATGTAGCTCAGTGGTAAAAGTGCCTCTGAGTTTAACCCCCAATAACCCCGGCCAATCTTACAACATAAAGGAATGGCAATAATGTGGGGAAATGATTCCCCTCATAAACACTTTCAGCACATATTAATTCTAAGGAGCCACATTGCAAGAATAGTCACATGTGGCTAGTAGTTAACTTATTTGAACAGCAGCTCTGGAGACTCACATGTGCATAAAGACACATTGTTTCTGATAGGAAAAAAAAAAAAGGAATGGACAAAGGAAATATTATATATCATAAAAAAGAGCACAGTACAATGGTTAGGAATGAATTGGATGTAAATATACATCTATATAGGCTTTAAAAATAATAGTGAAAGAATTAAGTTAGGGGGTGATACATAGAAAACAGCATTTGTGTTCATTAAAAAAACAAAATCAGGATCTGGGATGTAGCACCATGGTAGAGCACTTGCCTAGCATGTGCAAGGTCCTGGGTTCCATACCAGGTACCACAAAAGAAAAAAAAAAATGCAACACTATGTATCATTTAAGGATACACATATAATTTTTTTAAATGGGCTGAATAAAACACACAGCTAATTTATAATAAAATTTGTTTTTATTGCAGATGAGAGGGTAATGGATCTGAGAATAAAAGACACAGATTAAATTCAATTTTTTTCTATATTAACCTTTTAAAAAACCAGGAAGCAAATATATCATATCAATAGTCAATCTGGTGTGCTGAGAATACATTGTTTGTAATATTCTATTAATAATTTCCATATATAAAAGTTTCACAGACTGGGGATGTGGCTCAAGCGGTAGCGCGCTAGCCTGGCATGCGTGCGGCCAGGGTTCGATCCTCAGCACCACATACAAACAAAGATGTTGTGTCCGCTAAAAATTAAAAAAAAAAAAAAAAGTTTCACATAATAAAAGTTATTGTTTCAAGTAATTGAGATGTCTGTAGGTAGTAAATATTAACCTGTAAGTTCCTGTTGGCCCCCAAATAAAGTCGGCTGGCATTCTAGGTTTTCTGAACTCACAGGTCATCCTGGAGTTGATCTATCATCAATAGATCCAGACTGGACGCTGAGGGGGCGTGTGAGCTGGGTTACAGGTCTGCAAGCTAACGAATTCAGACATACGAAAAGTAGGGTGCTGAAAATCAGTTAAGAAGGTCTAAGTGGAGGTGGGGTGTGCAGAAAGCGGGTAAAGGTGAGAGCTGGGGAAGCAGAATGTGGGGCAGGAAAGAGTATTAAGATGTGTGAAACAGTAATGACAGCCTCTGCTGCCCTGAATCTGAAGAATCCCGAACACGCTGCTTTGTCCACTTCTTTGATGCCACCTCCCCCACCCCCCTTCGGCTACTACGCTCCGGGTCAACAAACCCCAACGCTCCTCACCCGAGACCAGGAACCTCAAGAAGTTATACCGCGCCTCTGGTCGTGGATCACAAACATTCTCCCGCCAATTTGGTCCTCTGGCCTCCGCCTTCTGATCCCGGTAACACACTTGGCCCGTTGAAGCTCAGGAACGCGTTCTGGAACCTAAACTAGCCGCTGTTCCTGTAAAACGATTCCCACCGAGGCAAGGCAACTGGTGCTACAGCCAGAAAAATACACTTGCATGTGTTTTTAATGTATATTTTTCACTTTAATTCTCGCGTCGAAAGAGCGCAATTTGAACCTCCGGGTTAGATTCGGTGTAGTATGGGAAATGTAGTCCTGAGTCTCCACGCCGCGCTCCTGGAGCCCACGTCAGGGAGTGTCGCGAACGTTGCTGGCTTAGGGGTTCTTCTCTTTGATTCTCCAAAGGGAATAATTGGAGAAATAATTGCACTAAAAATAATGTAGGCGAAATTTCTCACTTTCCAAGAACGATTCCCCGAGGAAGCTTCGAAGTGTACGGGACTCCTCCTTTCTAAATCTAAAAGAAGTAGCAAAATGTCTCGGTCCCTGACAGGTCTGCCCCCAAGTCTTGGTGCTCCGCCCCCCCTGCTAGAGTCCCCGCCGCTGATTGGCTAAGAGCACATGAGCGGCGGAAGCAGCTGGCTTGCGCGGGGAGGAGGGAGGGGGTGAACCTGAAGATGGCGGCAGTAGTGGAGGTGGAGGTTGGAGGAGGTGCTGCGGCGGAACGGGAGCTAGAAGAGGTAAGAGGAGTTGAGAGACAAGGAAAGAAGAGACAGCCTGAAAGCGAAGGAAGGGGCAGTGAAGTGTTAGAGAAAGGAGGTCCTAGGAGAAACGGGAAGGGTCCTGAGAGGGAAGAAGGAGCTGACTGGGGGGCGGGATGAAGGAAATCTGAGGTTCTCTTGACTCGGGCGCCCTGAGGTGGTCTTGGGGGTAGAAGACATGCAGTAGCTTCAGAAATGTAAATGAAGGACAGAGAGAAAGCCTGGACGGATGGAAATGTTAAGATTTTGAGATTATTAGTTGGGGGGTCCTAGGGTAGAACTAAAGGTCTGAGAGGTAGCTTTAGAGTTGAAGGGGCGTGGACTTCTGCAATGGAAGGCCGGGCTTTCTCTGTGGGAGAGGACTCTAAGCTTGGCGTGGGGGTTGGGCATGCGGATGGGGGAAAAAGTACTAATCTCAAGTATGTTAGCTTTGATTTAATTTTAGGTAGGAACTATTTCAATTTCATCCTTACAGTCTATGTACATAAAGTTTTGTTCAACGAATGGATAATTGAATGATTGTATGAATGGATGGATGAATGATTCATCCATTCACTTAAGTATCACTTTTGTTCCGGGTCCTGGGCAAGGTACTAGGGACACAAGGGTCCTTTCTCATGTAGAGCCCACAGTGTAGTGGCAGGAGACAGACAAGAAGATTGGGCATTGCATCAGAAATATAATGGTGGTCTTGAGAAAAGGACACCAATTCATTTTGAGCTAGGGAAAGCCTCCTAGAATTTGTTGAATCATAAAGGTTTATGATTTTGTTAAATAAATTCTTTGAAGGTGAACTTGAGAGTGCATGTCTCCTTTCCTATCTAATTAGCATTTAACAGCTGATGTATTCAGTTATCAGTGGACCTTGAATCACCGGAGGAAGGAGTCACTGAGTTTGAAAGGAATGAAAAGATAGGCTGAGAAGCAGAGAGAAGGTAGGAAGGAAAGGGGAAAAAAATCCTGAGGCTCAAGAGACAGTGATAGATAGAGTTGCTTGTGGTCTTGTGTTTGACAGCATGTAGATAAAGACAGCACAGAATAATAGGAAGAGGATCAGTTGTCAGAGATGGAACCAGTAGGATCTCTAAGGGGTCAGAATTTTAGAGGCCCTGTCTGTGTTTGGTGGAGGAGAGTGGGGAAAGTTTGGTGATGAAGCTCAGAAAAAGGAAGTGGACTTAGGAAGCAAAGACTATTGCTTGATGGTGGGTTAACTTAGTTTAAATGATTGGGATCATTAAAGTAAGGGAAGAGACTGAGAAACTGACAGGTGGTTGTTCCCAGCACTGTCTGTTGAAGCATTGTCTGTTGTCTCCTTCCTCCTAAACACTAGAAACTAGAGATGTTTGAATACCTTTAGATTGGTAAAGTGGGGTGGTTGTGGAAATGACTTCCAAGGCTCTTCCTACTTTAAGATTCTATGATTATAGTTGGCTGTGGTTCAGTGAGATATATTTGAAAACACCTTGAAGAGAGTAAATGCTGTATTGAAGTTATTGCTTATTGTTTGTTTGTCATGGGCTCTCCTTTTAGAGGTTGCATGGATCTCTTTCAAAGAGACATTTAGTTGCATATAAGGGTTCATTGAGATGTAGAGCAGAAGTTTTGGAAGAGGAAAAAGAACTTAAGGTTTTCATGTAAGACTTTTTTTTAAAAAAACATTTGATTCTTAGTTTTTCTGTATTGTTTAAGGACTTTAGAGCTACTAGTAGTATAATATATCTTCCAGAATGTTAGGCTACAGGATTTTTTTTTTTTTTTGGTACCAGGGATTGATTGGTACTCAGGGGCATTCATCCACTGAGCCACATCCCCAGCTCTATTTTATATTTTATTTAGAGACTGGATCTCACTGAGTTGCTTAGCACCTTGCTGTTGCTGAGGCTGGCTTTGAACTTGCAGTCCTCCTGCCTCAGCTTCCCAAGCCACAGGGATTACAGGCGTGCACCACTGTGCCTGGCTAGAGGTCATCTTTATATGAAACCACTTGTGTTCATCCCAGAAACCTTGTTACATATTTTATTTTCTGAGAAAGAATATAATCTATTATCTGGAAATTCTATGTGAACTGAATTTATATCTATTCTTTTGTGTGTTTAAGATAAAGTAACTCTGAGAAGCAGAAACAGTCATCCCCTTCAAGCTCCAGAAAGAACAGAGGTCTGGTCTGGCAGACCTTAGCTTGTGTGTTTCCTTCTAACGTCTCCCCAGCTGTTTCTGCTCAGCCATCACTAGTGAAATAGAAGGTGAAATTCATCATTTAATATGTAATTATAGGAATCTATGTGTGTTATGCATCAAGAATTCAAAGATGAGGGGCTGGGGCTGTGGCTCAGTGGTAGAGCACTTGCCCAGCATGTGCGAGGCACTGGATTCAATCCTCAGCACCACATAAAAATAAATAAATAAAATAAAGGTATTTTGGCCCACTATAGCTAAAAAAAAGAAAAAAAAAAAGAATTCAAAGATGAGACAGGATTTTTGCCAATTTACAATCCAGTGAGGAGACATGCAAATAGTCCATTACAATACCACTAGATAATTGCTATCATGAAAGTGTGTAACAAGTGCAGCCAAGTACAGAGACAAACATTAGAGTCTGCTAGGGGCAGTAAGTGAAGTCTTTATTATAGAGATGGGTTTGAGCTGAAAAATTAAAGGTTGGGCTTACCAAAAAAAGATGTGATTTGCATGTGACATCAAAGTTGCTCTCTGTTGCACCTTCTGCTTGGTTAGATTCTATTGTTGAGACCAGATTATATAAGAGTAATGGGTAGTCTGACTAAAATGGAGCTAGTGTACTTTTCTTATACTTTGGAAAGAATGAACATGGTGTGGTTTATTCTTCAGGTTATTGTATCTGGGTTTTCCAATAGCAGATGTTGTCAGCATGATACATGGTCTGGAATAGAAGTTCATTCATATTCCTTTCTTCTTTTTGTCTGGTTTCATGACTTTTCTCCAGATTTTGAGAAGTAATTTAGGCTTTTTAAAATGGCTTCTCCTGCTTTGTGGAGGTGAATAGAAAAGAAGATTTAGGAAAGAGCTACCAGTAGAAAAGGTTATTATTTATTGAGCCCTAACTATAAATCAGCACTTGTTTAAAGCCCTTTACCTTTGTAGCAGTCCTATGAGTTAGATGTATTAACTCCATATTTTAAATGAGCCAGAGACTAGAGAAATAAAGAAGTTTCCCAGGATTCCACAATTTGAGAGTGAGGAAGTATAGATTCTGGCCAGGTTTCTCTGTGCTATAATGAGTTTAGTGTGCTATACTGAGCTCCGTAGTTCTATTTCTCATGCCACTATTTGTGTTCTAGGGGTTATGTGATTTCAAATTGTATAGTCTTAGCTGGGCATAGTGGTACATCCCTACAATCCCAGCTATTTTGGAGGCTGAGGCAGGAGGATTGTGAGTTCAAAGTCAGCCTTAGCAACTTAGCGAGGCCTTGTTTCAAAATAAGAAATTAAAACAAGCCTGGGGATGTGGCTCAGTAGTTAAGAGCCTTTCTTTTCAATCCCCAGTACTTAAATAAAATTGTATAGCCTTAATTATCTCATGTAAAAATCGATACAGTATATTGATAAGTAGTTGTGATTTAGAAGAGCATTTTGAATTTCACATTTTTGAGGTAATATTTTTTAGTATTCCGTATTTATGATGGAGGAACTGAGCTTCCAAGGATTTAAGAGATGCTGAGAGTCTGCAGCTATAAGTAGTGTTACTAAGATTCGAATCCACAATTCCAGCCAGGCATGGTGATGAACGCCCGTAATCCCAGCAGTTTAGGAGGCTGAGGCAGGAGGATCATGAGTTCAAAGCCAGCCTCAGCAATTTAGTGAGACCCTGTCTCTATCTAAATAAAATACAAAAAAAAAAAAAAAAAGATGGGTCGGGGTTGTGGCTCAGTGGTAGGGTGCTTGCCCAGCATGTGTGAGGCACTGAGTTCAATCCCCTGGATAACATAAAAATAAACAAATAAAATAAAGGTATTGTGTCCATCTATAACTAAAAAAATATTTTAAAAAAAAGAAAGAAAAGAAAAGGGCTGGGGATGTGGCTCAGTGGTTAGGTGCCCCTGGGTTCAACCCCTAGTACCAATAAGTAAGTAATTAATAAGTAAGTAAATAAACAAAAATAAATAAATCCACATTTCTGGATTCCAAAGTGTTTATTTCCCATCAGTTTAAAGACTCAAATTGCAGGCTTACCTTACCAAAGTTAAACTGCCCCTTATATTCCAAAGTCCTGTTTCCAGCCAGTCCTGGTGGTGCATTCCAGTATTCCTAGTTACTCAGGAGGCTGAGGCAGGAGGATCACAAATTTAAGGCCAGCCTAGGCAGTTTAATGAGACCCTGTCTCAAAATAAAAAGGGCTGGGAATGTAGGTTGGTGATAGTGTGCCATTGGGTTCAGTTCCTAGTACAGGGAAGTGGGGAGTCTCATTTCCAAAACATGAAACAATTTTTTTTTCCCTGAGAAGATCAAAATAGGGGTTAACCAAAAGAATGTTATTCTCTCTAAATAAGT